GCTTACAGTCCAGCGGCTCAGAGTTGGTCAGGTGCTTCTTGAACTGCTCGTTCAGGTCCTTACTGACTCCGATGTCCTGGAACATTCGCTGCAGTTTGGACGTGTACTCAAAGCCGCACGCTTGCTGCAGGAGGAAGAGAAGAAGTCAAAACAACCCAGCAGACGCCCCACACACACACACACACACCCACACACACACACACACACGCTGCCTGGAGTGTGTAACGAGTGCACACGCATGTGATTCCGACCTTGAGTTTGGAGATCATGCTGGCCTCGGCGTCGTCGCTGGCGCTGTTCTGGTGGACCAGGCGTTTGGCCAGCATCTTGGCGTAAAACTTCTGGAAAACGTCTTTGTCCTCGATGTACTTGAACACAACCATCTAAGAGAGGAAACAGCGTGGAGTCTTTGGTTTCACTGCAAAACTAAGAGACGTCACCTTACAGACAAGCTCGGGTACAGCATCTCACCACTTGGTTCAGAGTGTCCTCCAGTTCAGCCTCCTCTGGGTTTTTGGAGCTGAAAAGGAAACAAAAACAAAGAAAAAGTTGTTTAAATCTCATTTGGAGGTTAAATTACAGACAGGCAGATGCTATAATCTTCGGCCTCTGAAGTAAAGCTAAACCATCCCTGTGTGGCTGAAGTAAACACTGTCTGCTCCGCTGCATCACTCTCACACTCCTCTGCTGCTTGTAAGCAGCTTCGTCCACCTCGCCGCGCTTTGAAAAGCGTCTTTGTTTTTGTCCTGAGTTTAACAAAGCAGTCAGGATGCAGACGCCACTCAGAGTTACTGAACCCACAGAGAGCGCAGTCCTGCTGGGGAGAGTCCCACAGTGGAACAGCATCCACTGATCAGGAAACAACAGCTGCCCAAACAAACCCCTCGTGGTGCACTTCTGTTTGTCACAGAGCTTTTCATCATTCGTTCAATGTTTCACTTTTAGGACTGAAAGTGTTGACTCGGTTTGAAACAGGTCACAGAGGAAGAAGAAAGTAAGAGCTGGCGACGGCACGTTTGACTTTATTTAAAAGACAACGGCAGAAGCCTCAGAAGGAGGAGTCCAGGGAAACTAGACGACATGCTGAGCTGTGCGGCTCACATGCATTGTGCACATCACCCACCTCTTCTTCAGTAAAGAGTCGCAGTATCTGGCCAGCAGCTCGGGAGACTTGCTGGACGACTGAGCCATCCTGGTGACGGCGTTGTTGTTGATGAACCGACCACACGCCTTCAAAAGGAGACAAATCCACGAGTCTAAAATTTCACCTGCCTGTAGGAATCCAGTGGATGACATCACACTGTCTGCTGCCATCTGTTATCTACAGTCTGTGGTTACTGACCTTGTCGAGTGCGGCCACGAAGCCGGCGTCGTTGTTGAAGGCAGACATGACCAAAGCGTTGTACTTCTTATGGACGTCCAGGGTGGTCTGCACGTACACTTTGGGGTCCTGGAAACACACACACACACACACACACACACACACACACACACACACACAGGTCAGAGCCTGTGAGCCATTTTTAACATAAATGCTAACATGTGATTGTCCTGTTAGTACATCTGCTATGGAGCTCAGGGATCCGCCCACTCTCTCCATCAATCTGCTTTAAAAACTCCAACAAACTCATTTGGTCTCCGTGTGTTTGACTAACAGGCCACTCGTTTATCATCTCACTGCTTCCTGACAGACAAACGAAGCTTCAGAGCCTCCTCTCCTTCAGTCGACTCCTTACATTAAACTAGTGAGAAACACTGAGGTGAAAAAAAACTCCTGCGTACGTTGAGCGCTGCCTCGCCGCACTTCTCAATGGCGGCCAGGCCCTGGTTGTGGATGTGGGTCTCTAGAAGCTTCTTCAGCTCACCCAGACCGTCTGTGATCCGCGACACCAGGTTGTACATCCTGCCCAGGTCTGAAACACACAGAGAGAAAGCTGCATCTGTGAAACACCAGGTCATCGTTACTGGAGACAAAAGCTTTGAGTTATCCAGGAAAAGATCGATGTTTGGAGTGTGTGTGGAATGCAGCGCGCGCACACACACACACACACACACACACACACACACACACCAGAGGGGACCAGAGCTGCAAAAATATTTCCCTGTCAGCGTCACGGTGCCGTCTCTCCCATCCAGCAGGGAAAGGACACGGTTACCTTCGTTCTTGTCAGCGTCCAGCAGGTTCTGAAACTCTGTGTGGAAGATCTCCAGGTGCTTCTCGATCAGGACTTGCTCACACTTTCGGGCCAGTTCGTCCTGGGTGGATTCATGGAGGTAAACCTGCACACGCCGCTGCTCCTCCAGGAGACGGGCCTCCGCCTGAGGAAACGCACACAGAGGAAGCAGACGGACTCTGGTCACGACTCGGCGCTAAAAGCTCCACGTGTCTCTGCTCGTTCGCCCACAGCTGTTTGCAGCTGGACAGCACAGCGCCTACCTTCTTCATGTACTCTGTGACGGGGTTCTGCTGCAGGAACTCTGTGCTCTCACGCGTGTAGAAACGTTCTGTGTCAGTGAGGAACTGACATTCAAAGTACTCTTTGTACACGGACAGCGTGGGGCCTTTGGCGAAGGCGTCCTCCTCGTTCAGGCCCAGCTCGACTGCAGGAGGACAGAGGTGGGATTAATGAAAGCTGGTCGACATGGAAACATCCACATCCTGTTAATACAAAACAAGTGTCTCCACATCTAAGTTAGTCTGAAACGATCCTTTCATTTAAAACAACAATAATGTAATATGTGCTCGCAGACAGCACCACGTGTCACAGCGAGCAACCAGCTTCATTCAGCCCTGTGCTGCTGTGGTTAGCATCGCCCAGCTGTGAGGAGGCATCTTCAGCTTAAATCTTAAACATAATGTACGTGTGACCTTTGCAGATTAGATGTTAGGTTACTAACTCTGAAATCATTCAAATCATTCAACAGCTGCACAAAAATCAGTCAGAACAATCTCCAGCTGGGTTTAATTAGTCAGACTTGAGCTCCTGTGAACACGTGTGCAGACTCCAGCATGGGTAGATGTCATGTATTTATATAAGTGAGACAGGTGAAGACATTGCAGACAGTCTGCTGCTCTGATCACCGACAGCTTCTCATGTTAAACCCAACACACGCTCAGAGTAGCTGCTTGTGAGTCTCCACAGCCTCCGTTCACAGCTCCCACCAAACCAAGTAGAATTTCACATCAGCCTGAAAGTTATGCACAGCTCTCAGTCTGTGTGATCATTGCTGATACTCATAACCTGCTTGTGTTTGGTTACTCCCCTGTTGCCCTCGAGGACCTACCATAAGACTGGACAACACCACTGATGAGCCGGGTGTTGATGGTCTCACCGTTCCTCTCTCTCTCTATCAGCTTCAGAACGGCGTTTGTTACCTGACAGGGAGAGAGGTTCGCTTCAGTAAACATGCAGAATTCAGCATTTTAATCACTGCGCTGTTTCTTTAAGAAGGAAAACTGCTCACCTGTTTGTTGAGGGGTCGGAATAAACACTCCCTCCAGGTCACGAGTGCCAGCTGAGAGGAGGCAGAGTAAAGGAGAACCACAAGTTTAATAAAACAGTGTTTGCTATGAATCTGCTCCTACTGCGACCTGTCAGGTAAAGCTTTTGTGTAACTGCTGTTTGGGGACAGGTGACGTATTTAACTTCGTCCTGCTGGAACTGATTTTTAACTCTGTGCATTCAAACAGAAAGGAAGTGTCAGACTTACCGAGTATATCTCGTAGATGCCCTTGCGTCCCTCGTCACACTCTCGTCTGACCCAGTGGCGGTTGAGGTAGGCGCAGATCCCGTTAAGGACCTTACTGGAGAAGCGGTAGTCCTCCCACTGCTGGGTGTAAAACTTCAACACGCACTCGTCCATCAGATCCTCGCCATCCTGCGGACGATAACGCGGAAAGCAAAGGGAGGAGGAGTTGAAAGGTGTCCGTGGTGCCCTCGGTGAGGCTGTGACTGGTAACCATGGACTCACCTTGAGTAGGCTCGTCAGGTAGTTCTTCAGGAACTCCTTGAGCCGCTTGTAGAGCTCCAGGCCTACGAACTGAGCCCCGCCTGGAGTGGTGGACTTTTTGGAGGGCTTTGCTGGAGGCACGGAGCCCCGGCCCTGGCTGGACTGGTGGACGCTGGTGCAATAGTTATATACATGTCTGATCGAAGGGTTAAGGTGCGCACGTCACATCAGGGTAACCGCTGCATTCCTCACATCTGGCTGCTTGTAACATCAAGAGCAAGTATGTGAGGAATGTCCTCGGCTGTCGCTCTCTCTTTTCTGCATGAAATCACAGCACATGTGCACAGAGCCCAGTTTAAACCTGCGCCGTCTGCAGGGACACGACCGCAGCGTCGAGCTTCCACGGCCGGGTGGACTTTATTTCATACTTCAGGGAAATGTGCAACCTTTAGCAGGAAAGGTGCACGAGGGGATAATCAGCTCACGTCCCCTGCAGACGCATTTTATGGACTTAAACCTTTTCTTTTGCACAGACAAACTTTATGAAGCTTTTTGAAACCAATTTTTAAAACCTACTCAAAGGTTGGAGGGAAGATTACAGTGTGAACATCAAGCTCAGGGTCGGTGAGTAATCCAAACCCTGCAGCAGCATATCAAAGACTAACCTTGTTGTCAAGCTCAGATATTCTTTCCCTGAAGGTCTGTTTGGCCCCGCCCACCAGGGACCCTAAACATGAACTTCTACTGAGAACAACGTGAGCTTCATCCTACATGTTCCCTGTGCTGATGTGTTTGTATGAGAGTCACCAAACCTCCAAACATGGCTGTCGGAGGTTTCAGTCTGTCACTGAACGCGGCGCATCGTAACGAACGCCAACGCCAACATCTGATCACTGGACTCGTAACTCTCAGCGTCTGTTTGCCTTTAGAAACCAAAACCTGTGTGAGGACGTCAGAAGAGCTAAAGCAGCGATGCCACGAGATTACCACTGAAGACATGTTGATGGTTTTTCTATTTATGATTAAGAAATCTCCATGTTCTTCCCTTCAGTGTCCCTGAAAATGAAATCACTGCAGGCTTATGAATATACGCCACCTATCTCAGCCGTGGAGCCACTCGTACAGCGTCTGCCTTGTTTGTGGTTTGTTTCTGGGCTTCTTTCTAAACGTGTGGAAAAAATAAACCAAATCTTATTTTCTATTTCCTCTTACAGTTCGTTGTAAGTCTGGATAACCGAGCGTCTAATAAAGAGTCAATGGAGCCAAATGTCTTCATCAGAAAGTGAAATTCTTTCAAACACAACTTCAACCACACAAACACTGCTCTGAATCAAAGGTTTGCTTCCTGTTTGCTCCGTGTGTGAAACTCATTAATGGAACAAACGACTAGAAAAAAAAAAAGTTTGTGCTTCAGAGAAAAGGAAGTAACACACTAGTGAGATTAACCATCTGAAACAAACACACACGGAAAATTTGCTGTTAGGTTGTTAACTTTTAGCACTAAAGGGATATTGCAGTTCTTAAGGCAGCCACATGAATCATTAGAGGCAATAAAACAGAAGCTATGGCTGCTTGAATGAAGCTAAAATCCTGATCAGGGTGATTTTGGTTAATAATGTAATTCAATGTTTCATCTGCATTTTGTTTTTAAAGTGCCAAATCACAACAACAGCTGCCTCAAGGCGCTTTATTCACAATAATGCAGAGCAGACAGAAACCTGATGATTTAACACAATTATTGTTAAACATCAGTTACTGCACCTGTGGCTTTGTACAGGGGATTTCCTGTAAATAAAACAAATAAATATGTATTTTAAAGAAAGAGGAGAGGGTGGTGGGGGTTGGAGGGGAGTCAGAGACAGACTAGGAGGCGTTTCTGACCAAAAACGGCCGTCGAGCCTCCACCGCAGGACACCTGCAGCGAACACAGCCCAGCACGGCAGCAAACAAGCGACTGCAAGCTGACGGCCAGCTGCCGCGTCCTGCCAAAAGAGGACCTAAGATCTGAGCAGGCCAGAGCCAATCCGGAGCAGCTGAAGCCAACCGTGAATAATCCTTCCACACCTACGGAAATCTCCAGCTTTACTGCCTCTAGATAGATCCTGTTACGCCAGTGTCAGAGTACTACGAATGCTTACTGATTGAGCCTGCTCCTAAATGCCCTTCCTGCCTCTTGCTCAGTAACACACTGGTTTATCACACTTAATAAAGCTGGTTTGTATGATCACACACACTCAGCAGCACCCGCAGTCACACAGGATACGTGTAGAGTTCCATGTAGCGTGACTTGGCCATGCTTTGCCGCGTGTACACCTGCTGGATGCCAGCCCGCAGGTCGTCCCATATCTGGTCCAGGCCTATCTGTTTCAGTCCGTGTGGGTTCTGGGTCCTATTTGACGACATCGTGGTGGAGCCCAGTGTCCTCTCCGCTCCCTACCAATGCCCTCCCTTTCCTGCTCCAGCGAGCGTGTGCTCCTCCCCCTGCGCCTCCTCTCCTTCGCTTGATTTCGGTCCCGACTGCCTCGCTCTTTTCTCAGAGTCTGGAGTCCATCTGGGGACGATGGTGGCGGCCTCGGGAAGCTGGTCGTCGGTTATGTGAGACGGGAAGGGGTCCCACTCTGCACGCCTGGGTGGCGCTGTCTGCCACTCCTCCACCTAAAAGCTTCGGAAGTCTTCACCAGATGACCTGCAAAGAAAACGAAGAGACACACAAAGCCACCTGATTAACAATCTTTGACTTAAAAATAAATAAAAGCTTCACCAAAACTGTTTTTAAGGATTCCCTTCAAACATACGCCACTGAAAAACCACTGCAGCAGGCCCTGCTGGTGATTAGCCAGGTAGGTTACCTGGATTTACCTTGTTGACACCTGGATCTGAGCCGGCAGACACAATGCTGACCGGACCCAGCGTCAGTCAGCTAATGAGATTAGCCACTACAGCGCCTGCCTAGTTTCCCTTACCACAGCCTCACTGTACACGAACTCCACCTCCACAGTCAATAAGGGTTTTTTGGTTGCTAGGAGAAACACACAAACACAATGACCTACATTTATAACCTGTGTTTGCTTTGGCAGTATGGGAATGCATTCTGGGAGATTCTAAATTAATCAGAAACACTGAATTGTCATCTTGAAGGGCTAAAAACAATTAAACTGGTCTGTTTGGGAGTTTTTCAAACCACTGGCGTACTACTGGACAACTCAGATCATATTTTGAAAGTCTGGGAAGTCAACAGGCAATTTATAATCGAAAAAAAGAAAAACAAACACTGGCAAACAGACCAGATAAAAATTCAGACTGGCACATTCATGAGGGGGAAAACCTTGTAAAGTCTTGTCTTAATTATACGAGTAGAAGAAAGGTGTTGCTGGGGTTGGATCATGCTTCGTGCGAGGTAGTGAATTTCTTTCCAACTTTGGGACGTGAAGCCATGAGGTTCCTAGATTCAGGAAGGAGTTTAAAAACCCATCCTGTGGGAAAGACTGAGTCACGACTATCGCACCACGAGGAGGGTAAACATCGGCAGCACGCAGAGGCCGGATCATTAGGGATAACAGAGAGACCTACAGCTGTAATTTCATCCCTGCTGACAGGACACGAGCAGGAGGTAAACCAACGCCACGGTTTGCAGCGTCAACATCTCTGAAGCCACAGAGACGCAGAGACACTAGGAACAAAGCAACCAGGTCTGAACTACAATCCACTCGACTTACTGGCTCTTTGTTTTGATTTACAATCACAAGCTGAAGAATATGTATGTTAGGAAATATGCACAGGTAGCAGTATGTAAGCTAATAAGCTTTTTGAGCATTTGTTCTGTGTTCGCTGCCATCGTCCTGTCAGGAAACAAAGTCTTTCACCAGCTGCAGCCCTTGCAGCTGAGATTGAGTCATCACTTGTAAGGACGTGGTCTAACAGAGACCAAAGCAAACAACTTATAAAGAAGATATCGTGGGACAGAAGGCAGAGTAGATGAG